GTCTACAAGCTAAAGCAGACTTAGGCAGTCATTTCTGTCTTTACTTTTTGACTTAAAATAAATATTTTATTTCATTTATTTTTTCTTGATTTACTTTGGAAGAACCTTTCACATAGTATCAGATCCTCTTTGGTTTCTTTGAGTTTTGAGGTAACAGAAATCTCTATCACTGTATTACATTACAGCCAGAATTTTACCTAATAATTATTATGCTGTAGATTATTTAAGTTATAAAAATAGTATATGCACATGGGAAAAGTTGAGGAAACATAAAATGACAGCCAAAATCTTCCTCTTCGTCCCATCCCCAGTTTTACTGTCTGGAAACAGACGCCATTACTAGTCTCTTGCATATTCTCACAAGAAATAGTCACGCATATCCTCAACTTTTTGAGTTAAAAATATTATGCATTTCAGCAATGGAACTTTACCTCCTTCTTTCAAATACCTGAATAATATTTCATGCATACTCATATAAGTTAATGAGTCTCCTATTCATGGATGTTCCATTTTTCTCTAATTTATTTTGAATTCAGTTTTGTCTCAGTCTGTTTTTACGCCATTGCAAACAACGCTACAACGAACATCCCTGTACAATCGTTGCATTTCTCATTTTTGCGTATACCTATCTGTAAGATAAATTCTTAAAAGGGAGATAGCTGCGTCAAAGGGCATAAGCATTTTAAATTTGGACAGAGGTTTAACAAATTTACAGTCCTGTAAACAGGCTACAAGAATGCTCATTTCCCCACACCTTCAACAACACAGGGTATTACCTAAGTTTATGACTTTCGAGGATGGGATGGCTGAACAAAATGGGTCCCCACTTTTCACAGAGACAGAGATCGATCGGTAGGAGTTCCTGCCACATCTATGTGCTACCAATACAATCATTTTTATTTTTCTTTAAATGGACTCAGTTTTCACTCACATAGATAAGCTTGAAAAAGAAACTTTATACCACTTGAGTTGGTGGAAAGCCAGTTTGTTATAAGGAGAAGACAACTATAATAATAAATATAAAGAAAATAAAATGTTAGTCAACTATGATGCAATACTGGTTTCTGCTGAGACTCTTCATCTGAAGGCTGCTCTCTCTTTGGTAGAAAAGAAGATTAGTGAGCCTTAGAGAGGTGTTATAGACAAGTTAGCATCATTTTGAGACTTTCCCTCTGGTCTGAAGAGAACTGTAAAGGGAATAACTTTCCCACCATGTGGGAGTTGGGACCCAATCTGTGTCCGCCTGAGATCCTCTCAGCCATCACCAAGGCTTCATATCCCACTACATAGGAGATGCCTGGATCCAGAGATCTCAGCAGAGGGAATGTGAGCTGGGCTTCTGGAAACACATGTGCCTGGACTTTCAACCCAGCTCCATTCTTTACCAGCATATGTGACCAGGGACAAGTCTGTTTTATTTCCCCACAAAGTAGGGCTAGTAATATGCACTCCACTGGGTGCTTGTGATGTTAATTAAAATATATGAAAAACTCAAGTATGAGGGAGCCTGTAAAAGTTGGCTCAGCTCCCCACACCCCGCCATTCCGTGGATTCTGGAGTCCAAAGTCCTCCACAATTTCTGCTACTTGGAAGATAATTCTCAATTCTCTCCACCTGATTGTTAAACAACTGTATGCTTTCTCTGTTTTCTCATTAACCTGGAAGCAGAACTCTCCTTCATCGCTTCCCATGAGAAATCTGCTCAGATCTACAATTGATGAAGATTAGCATGTCAAGAATAGTCACAGCCTTGAGTAGACGGCTTTCTTCTGTCTCAGCAGCTCTGCTCTCTCCCTCCTCTTCTCCCCTTTCCTTCCCCCTACGTTGCCTGTGGAGCTCCAAGTCCTCCTCCTTCTGACAAGCTGAATAATTCAGCTCTTTCTGACTCCTACCCCTCAAAAATCCACCCACCCCATAAACGTCAGTCCTCTGTGAACGAGAACCTCCCTCCTTGGAAGGCAGTTGGATTTTATAAAAAGCAAAGTGTGCTTCTTATTCCGCAGGTAAAGTGGCTGTGAAGCCAATGATCAATGTAATGTAGCCATTATTAGGCGTAATAACCTAAGACCTAAAACCGTCAACCTGGAGTTGAGGGTGGATGAGGCAAGAGTCATAGGCTCAGGGGGCTGGAGATCATCTGACTCAATGATGGGGAAACTGAGGCCCGGAAAGAAGCAGAGCTTCCAAGACAAAGCGGCAACTAACATAAATTTCACTAGGCGCCTTAAAAACTCCAGTGTGTTTTCAAGGCTTTGCTTGTATTGTTTCCTTTAATCCCCATAAGCCCCCTGAGAGGGGTAGATGCCACGACAATGTAGAGTGACCCCATTTGCCCACGACATTCCCAGCTTTAGCATTAAAACTCTCTCATCCTGGGAACGCCCTCAGTCCCAGGCAAACAAGGATGGTTGGTCATCCTGTTATAATTCTGCTTTTATGATGAGGAAACTGGGGCACAAAGAGGTGGGGTAAGTTACCAAAGCTGGTAAGGCACTGAGCTGGGATTTGGACACAGGTCCCAACCTTTCAGCGATGCTCTGTTGTTCTCAGCATGAAATCTGAGTACTTTACAATTACCTGCATGGCTCTGTGTCATCTAGCTCTGGACATTCCTGTGCCACCGTCATCTTCTGCTTTTGTGTCCCCACGGTGGGCACAATCCCTCAGTCCTTCCAACGCTCTGGACTCCTTCCCACCAGGACCATGCCTACGCTGTTCCCTCTGCCTGGGATGCTTTTCTCTCTCCCCTTCTAGATGTCTTCACCCGGCTAACCCTTACTCATCTTTCAGGTCTCAGACAGAGCGACCATTCCTCCAAGATGCCTTCCCCGGCACCCCAACAAGGTCAGCAACCACCGCCCCTTATAGGTTCCCGCTGCACCCTGCAGGTTTACCCAGAAACACTCATCCCGCCTGTACCCAATTTATGACTCTTTTATTGCCTGCTTCTCTGACTAGACCTGGCTGGATTATGTTCCCTGAGCACAGGGACCTTGCCTGCTTTGCTTTCCATGTGTCCCCCAGAACTCGCATCTCGTAGGTGCCCCATTAATATTCGTTAGAGAGGAAGACTGACTGCATAAGGGAGTCTGAGTGTTCATCTGCCTCATCTCCGGTAGCACTTCTGCCTCTGCTCTCTTCTGACTGGTCAGGGACGCTTACTTGGTGGTGTCTGGGACCCAAGTCTTAATGCCGATTTCTCTCTCTCCTCTGCACCTCCATTGGAACCTGGCTGCCTGCATTCTCACTTCCAGATAGGACAGAAGAAGAAAGTAAGTACTGTGACAGTCCTTTGGGTGCTTCAGATTAGATTCTTGTAACCCCCTCTGGGTCTTGAAACACCTTTAAAAGTTTCTAAGAAGGGTTGGTCTAGGCCCTGGCATTTAGCCATTGGCCTGGGATCAGGAGCATAATCAGTACAAATAGACTCCACTGAAGAATCTCTACTGCGGTGTGCTGGTAGATGGTTAGCAACCACCTCTGTGGGGGAGGGGTGGAGAAGGGAGCCCTGATTTGGAGCAATTGTCAATTTCCACAGTATAAGTACTTTAATCCTGGCTGATTTCAGGCTATTAGTGGTTTCACAGCTGGCTCACAAAATTCCTGAAAATTTAACAATTGTCTCTGGCGAGCCAGCTTCATCATATCCCTGAGTCAAAACTATGTCTCTCTTATTTGGTGTATAAATTGCTCCAATGAGAAGGAGCTTACCCCATTCATCCTTCCAGAAGGAAAAGTGGTGGTTCTTGGGAGAGAAAGGGGTGTGCCCTTTAGAGAGTGGAGGGGAAATTTCAAGGAAGAAAGATGGTGTTACAATGTCCTCTGCAGATACACGTACATACATACACTCCAGCTCAGGTGAGATGGAGAAGGACCCCTGTCTTCCTCTCTACTGCCCCTCCAGGGCAAAGACTTGTCCATTGTTTACATCCATGACCTAGAAAAATGTTTAACACACAGTTCGGCTGCACGAATGTTTCTTAAAGAGTGACCCCTACAACTGCTAATGCTTGTTATTTTGCTAATTGGAAGGAATTGAAGAGAATTAATATTGGAGCATGTACCTCTGTTATATTACTGAATTCTCACAATGGCACTGTGAGACGGATGGAGCCTGAGTTACAAGATGTGGTTCCCTGAACCGGCTGATCATCAGAAACTTACAAACTACTGAATTTCTGTGTTCCAACCAGAACTTCTGCCTGAGAATGCCAAGGGGTGGGGTCTAGCAATCTGTTCTTTCACGAAGTTTCTCAGGTGACTTGATTCAGATGGTTTGGGAATGACCGAAGTAGAGCCGGAGCTGGCAAACGACAGCCTGGCCCACTGCCTGTTTTTGTAAATAAAGTTTTATTGAGACCCAGCCACACCCATTCATTTATGTATCATCCATGGCTGCTTTCATGCTACAATGGCAGAGCTGAGTAGTTGTGACTGAGATCCTATGACCTGTAAAGCCTAAAATAGTTACTATCTGGCCCTTTACAAAGAAGTTTGTTGACCTCTGAGCCAGAGCAATGCCTCTCAGGGTCTTTGTTTAAAATTAAGATCCCACCTCAGATCTACCTAAGGAATCACGACTTCTGGGTGGAGCTTGAGGCTCTGTTTATAACAGGCTTACCAGGTGATGATTCATGTACACACTAAACCTGCACATATGGACCCACCAACTTCAACTCAACAGGCAGATTGTTTAGGTGGGGCCCATCGTAATTTACGATGTGCATAGACAAATAAGGAAGGGGTGCTTCCCTTCAATCGCCAGTCTTTAGTCTCCACTCCTGCTTCCACTCTCCCCTTGAGTTGGAGAGGCAGGGACTCAGTGGTATCCACCTGTTTGGGGTCATTGCTTGAAACTTCTAAACCTAGACACCCTCAGCGACTGTAGGAGTCTCCCTATTTCATTTATAAAGCAAAGCAATTATGTTTTTATTATTTTAAAATAGCCTCTCTAAGACCACAGATAGGTAAATATTTAATAAAGTACCAAAAAAAATGAGTTCATGAAAAAACTAGTGAAATTTGAGTAAAGTTTACAGTCTAGTTAATGTCAATGTACCGGTTTTGACAACATGCTATGGTTATGCAAGATGCCACCACTGGGGGACGCTGGGTGATGAGTACACAGGACTCCTCTGCACTATTTTTATAATATTTTGTGAATCTGTAATTATTACACAATAAAAAGTTAGAAATAATTTTAAGAGTATTTAGTAAAGGAATAACGGAATGTATGGGGGGGTGGGAGTTAATTTGATTTTAGTCTCTCACTCACTCTTTTCCATGTTGACTCCCTGACTTCCGGTTCTGCTGCACCCTCCAGTGAAAAGTAAGTTATTTTTCCTTTTCTGTGGTTAACTTTGATGTTTTCAGATGCTGGGAAGAAGAGAAAACAGGGAAGAGAAGGGAATCTTTGGACTGTTCTTCTTAATTTAGGACCCGGGTTGAGAGAAACCTTCTGCTAAAAGAGGTCTCAATCTACTGCCCCCATCACTGAAGAAGGCTCAGGATGAGCTTCAGGGGTCCACACGCCCCCTGAGATTGCGTGGAAAATCGCGAGGGTGTGTCTGGGATGCGGGTGGGTCTTGGGCTGCAGGTATGACTGGGCATGTGAGCTCAGATGCATAGAAGGTCCCCAGATTTTATCAGATTCTCAAAAGCCAAGGACCTGCCCCAGAAAACAAAGACGTATTGAGTTTGAGTATATGTTGGGAGGCTCTACTGAATAAGGAGGACCCAAGAGGTCCTCTTACACTTTCCTCAAGCTTTCTCTCTTCTGACTCCTCAGGAGAGAAATGAGATAACGAGACACAAATGGGTTAAGGGGATCCTCTTCTGATAATCCTCCTAATTTCTGGGGGATGAATCCTCAAGGAAACTGGGTACCTGGGGATTCCAACCATGTGGATAAATATGTCTCCAAAGGGGACCAGTGTAGTAGAAGTATCTAGAATCACCCTCCCCCCCCAACCTATCCCATGAAATCTGGGAGACGCTCCCATTTCCCTCCCTTGCAGGGTCTCTTTTGAGAACCAGCAGGTGGGATAAGCTAGGAAGAAGGCATTAACAGCTTTCTCATCCTTTCCTCTCTGCTTCTGTCGGCGCCTGATAACTCCCGCTGGATTTTCTCCTCCTTGCTGCTCGCATCTCAACAGTATTGAAGCGTAAGATCTTTGTTTCAAATTGCCCCCACTCTGCCTTGTTCCCTTTCTTATCTCTGCTAAGGGATCCATTCTTAACCATGAATCATCTCTCAGAGAATTTTTTTTTAACCCAGGGACTGGAAAAAAAATAGCTGTATTATCTTCTCCTTCAAAAAGGTGGGGTGTCCTATGGGAACCAACGCCCTCCTCAAGTCATGGATATGGGCAACTTTATTATGGAGACAGTGACTGCAATGACTGACATGCATTAAGAGTTTCCCAGGCGCCAGGCACTGGAAACAGCACCTTTCATGAATTAGGTTATGTATCTCCCACAACTTCTTCACAAAGGAAGCATTATTTGTCTGAAGTGTGTAAGGTGCCTGCAACATGGTGACACTCCACACATGGAGGAGTGGTAGCTGCCTTCCCAACCCAACTGTGGTCCAATGCAAGTCCTTTAAGCCACTAGATTTCCTCTCGGACCCATACAATGGGGCTTTCAACGGTCTCCCCCGGGTCACTGCCCTAAGTCCTAACTGCTTACCACAACCCACCTGGGCTCTGCTTTCCTTGGCTCCCAATCTCCCACCTTCTGATCTAGTGATTTTTTTCCTACTATGGTCTCAACTCTCATGGCCCATTGGACTCAACATTCTGGACTTTGTCTGCGACCCTGACCATGGTCTTGCCTCCCGGACCACATTTCCTTCTGGACGGGTGACATCAGAGATCCTAGGTAAATATCTCAGTCTACGCATGCCCTGGGATTTTGGTGGGAAGCTTGTTTGGCAAGAATATTTTTCATGTGCCAGGACCATGCAGGGGAGTAGAAACCCAAAGATGAATCTAATCTGCTTGTACTTCTACGTAAAATCATAGTCTGATGGGGGAGACAGACAGATAGTTATAGTACAACATGAATCAATGTCCAAGGGAGAGGCAATGAGAAAATGGGAATCCAGCAGGGCTCTTCAGAGGAGAGGCAGCTTGGGGTGAGCTTGTTGACCTGTGGATCTGGAGGCATTTATCACACTGCCGTTTGCAACTCAATTTGTGTGTTGTCTTCCTTAGGTTTGATGAGCCTCCAGGCATTAAGCGGTAAGTGGAGACTCCTGTTTGGTGCCACCTTCTGTCTGTGTTTGCTCCTGTGCACAGAAATACAGAGCTATTAGTTTCTTTTTTTTTTTTTTAATGTTGGAAGAGACTTTAGATATCATCAAGCTTCACACTCTCTATCATCATCATCATTAGCATCATAAATGTTTAACTTTGTTTTTCATTCATCCAACAAATACTGTTAAATCCTGTTCTAGGTGTTGAGAATGTAATAGGAAACAGACCAGACAAAAATCTGTGCCCAGATGGAACTTGAATTCTAATGAGAGGGGAAAGAGGATAAATAAATAAAGAATTAGGTTAAAAGTCTGTTGGATGTTAAGCCCTACGAAGATAATAGAGTGAGGGAGAGGGAAAGGCAGTGTGGAAGAGGTGGATGAGTTTTTAAAGGGCGACCAGGGAGAGTGACATTTGAGCAAAGACTTGAAGGAAGTGAGGGAGCCAGTTATGTGTACATCTGGGCAAAGTTTGCTCCAGGCAGAGGGAACAGAATGTGCAAAGGCCATGAGGCAGGAGAGTGCCTGGGATCAAGGGTACAGCAAGGAGGCCAGTTATAGTCTCTTCTCTCCTCCTCTGACACAGTCAGACGCACTGTTTACAGTTTGGTGTCCATCCATTTCATAACTCACTGATGATGCGTCTTCTTCCTTTCTTTCCTCCTCCTCCTCTTCCCCTTGTTATTCCTCCCTCTCTCCTCCTTCCTTCTACTCTTCCTTTCTTCTATCTTCCTCTTCCTCCTCCTTCTCCTTCTTCATTTTTAGAAGAAAGAAATGGCTGCAAGGAAGAAGGTGAGTCGTGGATTCATGCCTTTTCCATCTAGAGGTCACTGAGTTCCTTCAGTCTGTGTTAGGAGAAAGCCTTAAGAAGAGAAGATTTCAAGAACCAGGTCAGGGCTTCAGCACCTGAGAAGATGTACTTCTAAAGGGCACCCAAAGCTTCAGACCACCCTCCCCTTTGTACTGCCCGTTGGTATCAAGGAGACCCAACATACTGAAGTATGAGTGGAAAACGATTTTGTTTTTCCCAGTCGCTTCTTCTGCTGAGCACTGAAACTTCTCTTCCCTCTGGAAATTACCAGGCCAGCCCTGAGTGACAGGACTGTATGGCTGAAACCAAGAGAAAGAAATCCAGACAATAGAAGTAAGCCACCAGGTGACCCAGATATTGGAGACAAGCACTTTAAAATAGCTATAATTATTAAGTTCACAAAAACAGATGAATAGTTTCACCAGAGAACTATAATTTGTAAAAAAAAAAAAAAAATTAATCAAATGGAAATTCTAGAATTGAAAACACGACTGAAATTAAGAATTCAATAGCTGGGCTTCACAGCAGAAAGCACGATCAGTGAGCTAGAAAACAAGTCAGGAGAACTTATTCAAACTGAAGCACAATGAATAAAAGAGTAGAAAATACAGACACGAGCACAAGAGACACATGAGACACAGTGAACAGTTGTGATGTAGGTGAAAGTAGAATTTTAGAAGGAGAAGCAAGGGGGAGTGAAGCTGAAACAATATCTGAAGAGTGAATGGCTAAGAATTTTGCATCTGATAAAAATAACCATCCAGCGAAGATGTTAAACGTTCTGAGAACCCCAAGGGGAACAAATATATAGGAAATCACTTCTAGGAATGCTGCCACAAATGTCTGAAAACCACAGATAGAGAGGAAAAAATTAAACCCCATCTTAACCCCATTCCCCCCCAAAACAACAAAGACTGGATGTATTTCCTGGGACTGCCATAACAACATTACTGTAAACTGGGTTGCTTAAAACAACAGAAAGTCATTGTCTCACCGTCTGGAGGCTATGAGTCTGAAACCAAGGTATTGGCAGGGTCACGCTCCCTCCAGAGGCTCCAGGGAGAAGCCTTCCTCGCCTTCTCCTAGTTTCTGGTGTTTGCTGGCAATCTTTGACTTTCCCGGCTTGCAGATACATCACTCCCGTCTCTGCCTCCGTCGTTACATGGCCTCCTGCCTGTGTGTTCTGTGTCCAAATTTTCCTCTTTTTATAAGGATACTAGTCATGAGATTAGAGCCCACTCTAATTCAGTATGACCTCACCTTAACTTGATTACATCTGAAAAGACCCTATTTCCAAATAAAGTCACATTCATAGGTACTGGGGGTCAGGACTTGGACAAATCTTTTTGGGGGACACAATTCAACCCATAACAGATTCTTTACCATCCAAAGAGCAAAGAAGAATGACAGCTGTCTTTCCACAGAAGTGATGAAAGCCAGAAGATGATGGAGTGAGATTTTTTTTTAATGCTGAAAGAACTGCTCACCAAGAATTCTGCACCTAACCAAAAAAATCCTTTAAAAATGAAGGAAAATAGAGGCTTTCAGAAAAAAAAATCAAGACAGATTTGTTGCCAGCAGACTTGAATGAATGAAATACTGTAGGAAACTTCCTGCAGAAAGGAAATGATCTCATGTGGAAGCATGGAAATGAGGACGGAATACAAAACAATGTGAAAGTAAACATGTGGTTAAATAGAGATGAACATTCAATGCATTAAACAGTAATACTAATATCTAGTGTGAATTAAATATATAGAGAAAATGCAGGATACACACAAAAGGCAGGTTGGGGTACAATATGTTAGAGCATTCTAATTTCCTGGCCTTGTACAAGGACGTGGTAAAAGACATAATTTATATTAAATCCTAATAAGTCGAGGATACATATTAGAACCTCTAAGTCAACCACTAAAGGAATGATTTAAGACTATGTAATGTATAAGCTAATGTACTTCAAATGGAATAATGAAAATATTTGACCAGTAGGAAAGAAGGCAAGAAAGAAAAAGTGATTGTAATAGAAATGCATCAACTAGAAATAAAGAGTAAGATGATATTTGTAAACCCAGCTACATCAGCAATGTCTCTGAATTTCAATAGATCTGTTATTCCAAATAAAAACCAAGAGTGTTAGACTAAATAAAAACCAATGAAACCCAACTATTTACTGCTTACCAGAGACACACCTTATAGATGAGGACACGGAAAATTTGAAAGAAAAATAATGGAAATTATATCATAAAAAAGTATATCCATGAGCTGCTAACTAAAAGGAAGCTGACAAAGTTATTCCAACATCAGATAAGGTAGGTTCTAAGGCAAGAAGTGTTCCTACAGATGAAGAGGGACATTGAAATTGATAAAGAGTTAACTCACCTCTAGCATTACTGATAGGAAAAAAAAATTAGAGGAGAAACAAATGACCAATATCAGGAGAAAAGAGGGGAGAATCATATAGATCTTGCAGGTACTAAAAGAATAATAAGATGATAGTTTGAAAAACTTGATGCCAATAAAATGGAAAGTTTAGATGATGTGGACAAAATCCTAGGAAAACACAAATTACCAAAAGTGAAATAAATGGTTATAGAATTCTGAATAGTCCTCTACCTATTAAAGAAACTTAATCTGAAATTAAATAACCTTTCCACAAAAAAAAATCTCCCAAGGTCAAATGGCTTTCATGGTGATTTTTTCCAAACATTTAAGGAATAAATCACACCAATCCTACACACAAAATCTTCCATAAAATGAAAAACAGGCATTTTCCAACTCGTTTGGAGGCCAGAATAACCTTGATGAAAGATCTGACAGATATTATAGAGAAGGAAGAATTTTAGGTTAATCTTTCCCACAAACATAGAAGCAAAATCCTAGACTAAATGTTAACAAACCCAGCTCGGTGATATACTTTCTAAAAAGTCACGACCAAGTGGAGTTTATTCCAGCAATGCAGAGATAGTTTAATATATGAAAATCTCTGTATGTAATTCCCACCTTATCGATATAAAAAGGAGAAAAATCATATTATCATCTGAATAGACACAGAAAAAGAAGATGGTAAAATTCAACAGTCATTCATGATTAAAAAATAAAATCTCAGCAAATCAGGAATAGAGAGAACGTCCTAATATGATAAAGAGAGTCTACAAAAACTTACAAGGAATAATCTGCTTAGTGTTGAAACACTGGAAGCATTCCCTCGAGCTCATCAGTGATTCTGGCTATTGCCATTCCTATCACACGCTGTACTGGATGTTCTGTCCAGCCCAAGTCCTACCCAGAGAAGGGAGAAGAATGAAAAGGCACGAGGATCACAAAGGAAGAAAGAAAACTCTCATTTTTATAGACATGATTGTGTACTCACGATACACCATTGACTGGGAGGTTCTACCCGAGGGGGTTATATTATGCTGGTGTAGGTGAAATGTGATTAAAAACAAAATCTCCTTCTGACCCAGAAAACCTCTCCACAAAGGTAGGAGAGAGAGAAAACAGTTTTATTATTAAATCAGCGTCAAAGCAGAATTTGATATGCATCACAGGCAATCCGCTCAAGAGATTGCAAAGACAGAAAGCAGTCTCTTTTTCTATAGCCAGGTGGGTCCAACCCGTTACATACACGTTCTCAAGATAAACACTAACCAGCCCTCCAGTAAGAGGACTCGACAGCACTATTTATTATACAGAGTTCAACCTAAATTCACCTGGCAATAGGGGTGACCATCTGTGCTAGCTAATTGATTTTATCCAAAGGAAAATAAACTCATAGATTTATGACAGGAGGTAGTTTTGTAACTTGAAGAAAGACGCCCACAGAAGTGAGGCTCCTGACCGCCCACAGGGAGTTAAACTGGCTGTTTAACATTTCAAGAGATGCCTCCAAGGTCCTTGAGAAAGGCGTCCCTCGTTGTGAAACTGCCAGGAGGCGTATGTAGCTTTTAAGAAGGATTTGCATACATTTCAAAGAGACAGAGAAAGGACTTAGAACTACAAATATTCTCAAGGAAATTCTCTAAGAAGAGGGGACAGGGTTCTATTCCCGAATTTTCGACAGGGAAAATTAATTTTTTTTCCTTTTTCAATTTGTATTACCCTTTACATTGATAATGTTCTATTTTTTTATTTGAGGTCTGTTTAGACAGGTGTGTTTGTCAAAAATCCAGAAATAGCGAAGTTCAAACCACCAGATCAGTAAAATAGTATTAAGTAAGAGTTTATTGTGCATATAAGAGCAGTTCTCAAACTGGGAGCTTTCAAGATTCAAAACGGATACCAACCTCAGGTGCCTGACTCCCGGATGGTTTCCAAGGTGGAAACGAGGACGCTGTTTAACCTTCACACTGATTGGTTATTACAACGGAGGTTTCCAGACAGCTGTGGGATCAGTTAAAAGTGATCATCTTCTACCACTTTAGGAAGATGACTCAAGTTTCTTTTATGATGATCAGAGGCATTTAAAAGAAGTAACTTAAGTTTCGATAATGTTCATGAAATAAGCTAGACTTAGGTTACCTTCTGTGGCTTAAATGCTTTTGTCAGCTCAGGGAATTTTCAAGTCCGGTCTCCATTTTGTACATAATTTTAAGAGTTTGTGTGTAAAAATTTGAATTTTTTGTACGTAATACGTTCATAGAAATTCAAAATGAAAAAAGAAGAGGGAAGAATGTTGGATAGGTAAAAACAACATTCGTGTATCACATTTGGTCTGAAACGATGAGGTGACATGGTCAGATCTGGGGGTTAGAAAGATCCTCCTGGTGCCCTGGTGGGAGATGGTTTGAGGGAGAGGAAGTGTGGACCAGGTGGCTGAAACAATGATGATCAAGAGGCGAGCTGAGAAGGCTGGTGCCTTGGGGATGCAGAGAGGTGTGGGAACCCACCACAATTAACCAAAATTTCAATTCAGGAGGCAGGTGGAGGTGTGAGTGCGGAGTTCAGAAGGGAGATCTATGCTGGGAATGGAGATTCAGGAAGGACAGGAACTTTAGACAGGGAGGGGCATGCCTTCATTTCCATCCCGTTCTTCCCAGTTAAGCTTCCCCCCACTACCATCCCCCCCAAGAAACCACCCAGGAAAAAGAACAAGTGGAGCTTGTTGAAATGCGCCTACATGATGTTCACCTTCTTGTTCGTGTCCTACAATAAAGGAGACTGGGTAAGAGAAAACCTTGTTCCCTAAGGAGGGAGGTGGAGGGGAGTGGGAGCAGAGAGAGAAGGGTAGCGCGGGAGGGAAGGAAGTGCCAACCAAGTAAAGGTGTAGGAGAGAAGACTCCCCTTTCTAATAAAACCCCTCTCCTTCCTTCCTTTCTCTCCCTTTCTCTCCCCCCTCCTCTCTAACCCTCCCTCCATCCTCAGGCTTGGATAGGAGCCACTTCCTTCCACATTAGCAAACCCCAGAGATTCCTCTGAAACACTACCACTCATTCATTCCCTCCTTCCCTTTCTCCCCCCATCTCTCTCTCCTTCCACTATTTACTGTTTTGCTGGAGCTGCTGATGAATGTTACCTTCAAGTAGGTCATAATTTTGTAAGGGAGACAGGCATCAAAAACGATGTTCAGATCACCAAGTGGGACTCACGCAAACCTCTGGGGCTGTGTTACTGGAGGAGGTGGTGGCTCTTATCCCAGCCCAGGGCAAGGATGGACTCATGGAAGGCTTCCTGAAAGAGATGCCACTTCCACTACATCTGGCACAGAATTAGCCAATTGAAGGGGAGAAGGGGAAAAAGCATTCCAGGAAAGGAAACACCATGTGCATGAGAGTAGAGGCATGAGGGTAGAGATGTGGGAGGAGAGGCATGAGCGTAGAGCATGGAGTAGAGGTGTGAGCCGAGAGGCGTGGGAGTTGATGTGTAGGGGTAGAGGCATGGGAGGATAGGCATGGAGTAGAGGTACGAGAGTGAAGCGTGGGAGCAGAGGTGTGGGAGTAGAGGTATGGGAGCATTACTTGCCTGAAATGGCCAGTGTGATTCATTCATCCACGCATTCACTCCTCAAATATTTATGCTCATAGCAGGCCCCATGCTAGATGCTGGAGACTCAGGAGAACAGAACCCACAGGGTTCCTGGGCCTGCGGAGCTCACGGGATAGTAGCAGGGGGACAGAAATAAAATAAGCAGTGAGCCCCAGAAGAGGGAGTAAATCAGGGGGGTATCACAGCGCGTGTAGGGCAGTGGGCTGCTTTACCTGGAAGGCGATATTGGACGGCGGAGCCTGCCTTGAGAATTGCCCCGGGACAGCTGTCATGAGCAATCTGATCTGAGGCATGAAAGGATCGCTCTGGGTGCTGTATGCAGACAGTAATTGGGATTGAGGCAAGAGTGGAAGCAGAGAGACTGAGAGAAGGAGGCCCAGGTGGGCTGCACAGGACAATTTGGTGACGGTAGTGGAGACGAGGAGGACCTGAGAGCAGTTCTACAAGGAGAAGGGCTAACAGATCGGGTGTGAGAGATGAGGAAATGGAGAGACCAAGGAGATGAGCCCCAGGCTTGGCTTGCGCCCTTGGTTAGACCAGTGGTTCTCAAATGGGAGTGACTTTGTCACACAGGGGACACTCAGCAGTGTCTGGAGACATTTTTGGTTGTCACAACTGGGGAGGGGGTGCTACTGGCATTTAGTGGGAAGAGGCCGGGCATGCTGCTAAACATCCTATATTGTATACGACAGCCCCCTAAACAAAGAATGATCCGGGTTAAAATGTCAGCAGTGACGAGGTTGCGAAGCCCCACGTTAGAGGATGGTGTCACATATGGGGATGGGGAGAACTGGCTGGAAGATGCGGCAGAACGTGGATGCCGTGAGAAGTGAGGCTGAATAGATCAGTAAGACCACTGTAACTCACAACAGGAGGGAGGGAGGAGAGAGGTGGGCAGGAAAGAAGGAGAGGGGGGAAAGGGAGGGAAGGAAGTTGACTTGCCTCACCCCGACCTTTTCTTTCTCTGTTTCTGGTTCACCCCTTTGTCAACCTCCCAAGTGTTACTGCCACTACTGCAACACAGAAGTGGACATCAGGTATGTTACTGTAGGGAAGGGGGTTTGGACCACTGCTGGGCTGGGGGGGCTTGGTCCCAAGTGCCTAGTGTTTGAGTAGTGAACCCCAGGTGGGTCTGGAAACTCCAATCACAGAATCACAGAATTACATGAAAGGTCCCAAGGTCATCACCCTGGATCTCAAGCCTCCGCTTGACATGGCTAATAAAGAACGTTACAAATGATGGGGATGTGGAGAGTTGGAGGAATTCATTTACAAATTCTCTCAAAAGTTTTTATGTTGGATTTTTTTAAGTTGTGGCAAAATACACATAACATAAAATATACCATTAGTGACATTTAATACATTCGCAATGTTGTGTGACCCTCATCACTATCTAGCTACAGACAATTTTTATTACCCCAAAGGGAAACGCTATACCCATACGCAGTCTCTCCTCCCAGCTCCTGGAAATCACTAGTCAACTCTCTCTCTTTATGGATTTACCTGTTCTGGATATTTCATATAAATGGAATCATACACCATGTGGCCTTTTGTGTCTGGCTTCATTCACTTAGTATAAAGTTTTAAGGTTCATCTGGGTTGTAGCATGGATCAGTACTTCATTCTTTTTTTATGGCTGAATAGTATTCCATCGAATTGATAAGCCACATTTTGTTTATTCGTTCATCAGTTGAAGGACATTTGAGTTGTTTCCACTTTTTGACTATTTTGACTAGTGATACTATGAACATTTGAGGGCAAATTTTTGTTTGAATGCCTATTTCCAATTCTTTGGGGTACACACTTCAGAGTGGAATTGCTGGGTCATATGATTAATTCTATGCTTAACTTATTGAGGAATTCACTCAACGAGTTTTTATTGAGCATCTACTCTACGATGGATCCTGCATTAGTTAAAATTGTTAAACAGTGAATTTTACATTATATGGATTTTACCTCAATTTTTAAAAAAATACAAAAAGGGGTGGAGGCTGGAACGGATCTTGGGCCCTAGTTTGCAGACTCTTGCCCTAGACCATGGGCCCCTCTGGGAGCAAGACGTATGCCTGATCTATCCCTGGGACTCTAGTGCCCAGAGAAAGCCATATATATTCAGCTGCAGTGTGCTAGGCTGGGGATGCAGCTGGGTTGTGGCAGAGCAGGTCCCTGCACTCACAGAGTGCACCCCTTAGTGGGAGGGCGGGGGTAAACTAGCAATCACATGAGTTTCCTGGAAGGCCTGACAGGGTGCTGTGCCAGAGAGGAACTGGAGAGGACAGCTTTGTTCAACTGGGTGTTCAGAAGAACCCTTCTCTGAGGAGGAGACATCTGTGCTGAGTGATGCGGAAGAGCCAGCCCAGCTCAAACCTAGGGAAGACTGTTCCAGGTGGTGGAACAGCCTGGTGGGTTGGAGGGACAGAGCGAGCAGAACATAGTGAGTGAGGAATGTGGTCTAAGGTGACAGAAGGAGGAGGTGGGCTTAGGGCAGGTCATGCAGAAGGCAAGGCAAGGAGTTTGAGAATGCATGAAGATGTAAATCAATGTGCAAATACAAGTCTCTCTTCTTTCTTCCCTTCCTTAGAGATGATCCCTGCTGTTCTTTCTAGCCAACCGGCTCCATCTCAGCGCAACCTTCACAAGTCCTCATCTCCCAGGTAGTGTCACCTCCCAAGAAACCTCTCTGCTCCCTGGACTGCCAAGTTGGAGGATAATTAATCAGGTCCTCTGAGGACTAACACCTGTCTGCCAAGGGGCATGGTGGGAAGGCCTCTTGAGGGCCGGGAGAAGATGGTCCCAGAGAGTGGCTGAGTGACCACGTGCAGGGGTTTCTCCTACAAATTCGTTTCCAGGCCTTTTTCAACTCTTCCCCACTGTTTCTATAATAAAATGTAGGCTTGTTGAAATGGCTAAATGCTCTGTTCTTCCATTCACCTAACATTAAGAATTAACAGGGTGTGGGGTGATGAGTGCCAAGAATCGTATATATCACTTATTCTGGCAACAACTCTATATGGAAATTAATAAGAGAAACTTTGACTAAATTGGAGTCAGGAAGACCTGTAGGGGGAGCTCTCGTGCCCTATCACACATCCTCAATTACACCAGACAGGAAAAGAGGGATGGCTTCCATCTTGGAGAGGAAGCAGAGCTACTTCACCACTGAAGGAAGACTTCTCCTCCCACCTAGGAACAGCCCGGCCAGTGAGAAGCCATTGCTGCCCTGACCCGCTACTTTCCTCCAATGGAATTTCATTTAGAGCAGCCCCTCCGTACTCTCCCTTTTTCTCTATAAAAGCAGCTCCCCTTCCTTGTTTGTTGGATTTGCCTATGGTTTGCCATAGGGCGCACATTCCAAATTGCAATTCTTTTGGCTGTTTCCAAATAAACTCATTTTGAGGCTTTTCAAGTCAATATCTATCAGGAGGTCCTATTATGTCATCTACCTTACAGATGAAGAGACTGGCTGGGGGGATCGATAACTTGTATGAGTTCACACAAGTGACAGAACTGAGATTTGACCCATTCCAAGGTCTTTTTGTAATAAAGATTTAGGGCTCCCCGCTGGGGAAATGGCATCTGAAGATGTAGCGGCTCCATAAGTCAGCTGCATTGTGGCTCTCCAGCCTGCACGTTTCTTGCCTCTGTTTGAGGAGGCCCAGCGTCCTGGTTGAGAGCTTGGGCTCTGGAGACAAGTTTCTTGAGTTCAAATCCCAGCTCCACCCCCTGGGGAAGCTGTCTCTTGATGCCTTATTTTGTCATCTGTAAAATGGGGATATTAACAGAGTAGAAGCCCTCTTATCATCATGATCAGGACTAGTAGTTGGTTGGTTCATCAAAAAGTTGGTTAAAATGGGCAATTAAAGGGGCTGGCCCAGTGGCACAGTGGTTAAGTTTGCACGTTCCACTTCTCGGAGACCCCGGGTTCACCAGTTCGGATCTCGGATGCGGACATGGCACCATTTGGCACACCATGCTGTGGTAGGCGCCCCACATATAAAGCAGAGGAAGATGGGCATGGATGTTAGCTCATGGCCAGGCTTCCTCAGCAAAAAGAAGAGGATTGGCAGTAGTTAGCTCAGGGCTAAACTTGCTCAAAAAAAAAAAAAAAAAAAAAAGGGCAATTAAAAATACTTTAAAGCATGTAAATGTACACCCATTTGCCAATCTTTTGATACAGGACAAAGGTCTTGCTTTCTTTTTAGTGTGGGTCTGTGGACCTACAATTTCCAGTTTGTCCCTTAAAAGGGGAGCAAAAATTTGGGAACTCTTTCAAAGCAGTTTGAGCATAGACCCTTCCTAGAGGAAAACAAGAGAAAAAGTCCATCTTTACAGCGATCTTGCCCATTTGAAGGCAACACATTTTGTTGTTGTAGCTGTTCTTATTAACAACTGGCCTTTGTCACATCTTTCCCAAGCACTTACATTTGCTTTCATGGAAACAATTCTATGCACTGAAATGCTCCTGGTTTACGTAATATTTAACGGCTTTACAGAATTGAAACCAATTCTATTAGTATGAGAAAGTTTGGAATAAATACAACTAACTCTTGGAACTGACAAAGGAGAAGAAATCAGGCATGTCCAAGAGCAGTACGCTGGCCACAGGCACCCGTGAGCCCTGGACATCAGCCGTATGTCTTAGAGATGGAATGGGGGGCATCAGTTATGCCAGGAATCACTTAAAACTGGAGTTTGTTTAAGAAAGTTTCTACTGAATCTACCTCCTAGGGTTACCGTAAGGTTTAAATGAAATGATGTTTCCCAAACACAATGCCTGGGACACAGTAAGTTCTCATCAAATGTTAGTTAGTATATTATTATCCAGGGCAGCGCTGTCCAGTCAAAATCTAATGTGAGCTATAGCAATTTTAAACTTTCTAGTAGTCACATTAAAAAGTAAAAAGAGAAAAAAAAAAGTAAAAAATATTGGTCAAAGGGAACAGACTTCCAATTATAAAATGAATAAGTTCTGGGGATCTGACGTACACCACGGTGACTTTGGGTAACAATACTGTATTGTGTACTTAAAAGTTGCCAAGAGAGTAGATCTTAAATGTCCTCACCACACACACACAAAAGAGGTAATTATGTGAGGCGGTGGGGGTGTTCCCTAACCCTATTGTGGTAATCATTTCATGATATATACGTGTAGCAAATCATCACGTTGTACACCTTAAACTTACACAATGCTATATGTCAATTCTATCTCAATAAAGCTGGAAAAAAGTAAAAAGAAATAGGTGAAATCAGTATTTATAATACATATGAATTAACTCAATATAGCCCAAATATTATCATTTTAACAGGCAACAGATAAAACTATTATTAATGCAATAGTTTACATCCTTCTTGTTGCATGAACTCTTTGAAATCCAGTATGCATTTTTCACATATAGCACATCTCCCTTGGAATGCTAAATTCTCACCAGAAATCATTGATCTGCAGTTAGATGTCATAAAATTTCGAAGGAAAAAAGTAGATTCCCATATCCAAGTTGTTCCAAACATGCTTAAAAGTTGTCCAATAATTGAATCAAGTATCAATTTTAAATTAAGATTAAATTAGAAAGTCAGTTCCTACTGATAACCCAAGTCTAGTCATAAACAAACACCTGAAGGACATTTTATAAAACACCTGGCCAGTCCTCTTCGAAACTGTCAAGGTCGTCTAAGGCCTTGACTGAGAAGCGCTGGAATGGAGGCGGGGAAGAGGCAGCCAGCCTGAGGGGCAGGCGTGCACCAGAACAGGGTACTGGGACAGGCCCCCTGGAAGCCTGGCAGGGCCCACCCAAAACTCCCCTAGGGCAGCCACTGCAGCAGTCCCCTCACCAGCACCTCCCCTCGTCAGCCCACCAGTCAGTCTGTTTTGTTTGCCTCCTCCTCACCCCACTGGTGAGGGAGAGATTCCTGCCCTAGGGTCATGAGGATGGCGTGACAGGACACCTGACACTGCACAGATGAGCCGGCAGCAGTTTATCAGTCACAAATACTCACAGCCTGGGCGGAGGACACCCAGGGCCACAGGGAGGGTGTGCTCAGAAGCAGAGTGAACCAGGAGGGGCTATGGGAGGCAGGCTTTCGGGGTGAGCCTCGCTTCCTGTGACTGGCTTATTTGAATAATTCCACGGGCTGGCAGAGAGGTGAAAAAAGAAATAGGTGAAAACAGTATTAATAATATATATGAATTAACTCAATATAGCCAAAATATTATCATTTTAACAAGCAACAGATAAAACTATTATTAATGTGATAGTTTATATCCTTCTTCATTAGGTTGGGGACTGGGTGGGGTGCAGCTGGCCTAGCTGGGGGGAGCCTTTTCCACTGGGTGGGCGACAAATGTGGTGAGAATAGGGGACCTCATGGTTAAGCCTTGGGGCCCTGTGAGGCTCAAAGATCTCAAGGCAGCACATGAAATTTTAGACCTTACAACACAGCATCCTGACTAGTTTTTTAATATTTTGCAAGACTGAGGACCTGCACCATGTGCCCCTTCCCCACACCTTCCCTGAACCCCCAGAAAGTCTCTGGGGGGAAGGGGGCCTCTACTGGACTCCTCAGACTCTGAGGCAACATTTCCCGGTCACTGTCCCTCTGGTTGTAATGGTTTTGTCTGTCTTCCTCTCTCGGCTGTGAATCTTTGGGACACCGTGTCTGATTGCCTCTGTGGACCCAGCTGCCAGCCCAAGGACTGGCACTCAACAGGCTTCAATGATTGTCGGATGAATGAAAAGCCAGAGTACAGGGCCCTTGCCCAGGGTAGTGGAGGAAACGTGGTTGTATCTGTTCTTGGCAAATGAGACTGTCTTTCTCCCAGCCCCCTCAAAATCCATTTAAAGGAAGAGTGGTAGCTTAATGGATAAGGAAATAAAGACTTTCCTGTACTCCTCAGAGGGTAATTTCACGTGCTTGAGTTCCAATTAAGCGGTCATGAAAAACTCCTCTAAAACCAAGCTCCGTGTGACTTCCCAAGTCAACCTAACTCCTTCATTCAAGGGGGTGTGGACATGGCTGTGTTGGCACAGGTGCCTCTGAGCTCATAGGAAGCTGTTGTCTTTTCTTCAGCAATTTGAGTACAAATGGGGCTGCTCCTTTAATAAATAAGAAGAAACTGCTAAAAACTATGGAAACCACTGGTGATGATTCTGACAGACAGATGGAAGGGAATGCCAATTCCTTTAGATACATCAGGCAAAAATAATGGTACTGTGCCCTTTATCCTAGTGAAACCCAGCAGTAACTAATTTTTTTTTTTTTTTGAGGAAGATTAGCCTTGAGCTATCATCTGCCTCCAATCCTCCTCTTTTTGCTGAGGAAGACTGGCCCTTGAGCTAACATCCATGCCCATCTTTCTCTACTTTATGTGGGACGCCTGCTACAGCATGGCTTGACAAGTGGTGCACAGGTCCACACCTGGGATCCGAACTGGCAAACCCCGAGCTGCGGAAGCGGAATGTGTGAACTTCACTGCTGCAACACAGGGCTGGCCGCAGCAGTAACTAATTTTTAAAATTAATTTTAAACTAGGTATTATAAGGAAGAGGTTCTATATGCTAACCAGAAGCAGCCCAGGTAATTGACGTTATTCAAGGTGGTTTTTGTAACTTTCCCTGTATACCTTTAAGGGCCTTTCCGATCACCCCTTCCCTTTGAGGGTGTGGTGGTGGTGAAGGAGGCTCTCTTAAATCTTATTTAAAATTGAGTTTTGGGGCTGCCGCGTGGCTAAGTCGTTGAGTTTGCACGCTCTGCTTTGGCGGCCTGGGGTTTTGCCCGTTCAAGTCCTGGGCATGGACATGGCACTGCTCATCAGGCCATGCTGGGGTGGCGTCCCACATGTGACAACTAGAAGGACCCACAGCTAAAAATACACAACTATGACCCAGCGGGCTTTGGGAGAAAAAGGAAAAGTAAAAAGAAAATCTTTAAAATTGAGTTTTGTTAACCTGTCAGCTCATCACAGCAATTGATATCAGATTCCCTCCTGCAGTTTTATTATGATATAATTGACATACAACATTATATTAAAGTGTACAAGATAATGATTTGATACAAGTATATATTGCGAAATGATCACCACAATAAGTTTAGTTAACATCTGTCATCTCACATAGTTACTTTTTTGTGTGTGTGATGAGAACCTTTAAGATCCACTCAGCATCCCTGAAATACACAGATGTCACAATTTAAGGAGCTGGCGAGAGTTTACCAGGTGCCCAAGTTATTTGAAAGTAGGATGGGTGCTTAGGAAAACCCCTTGAAGAGCAGTGGCTCTCAAGGGGGCTGACTTTACCCTCCTAGGGGACGCTTGTCAGTGTCTGGAGACACTTTGGGCCGTCAGACTGGTGGGCGGGGTCGGGGTGTTGCTCCTGGCATCTAGCGGGTGGAGACCAGGGATGCTGCTCATCATCTTACAGTGCGCAGGTCGGCTCTCACCCCAAGGGAAGATCAGACCCAAATGTCAATAACGCTGAGGATGAGAAACAGGGTTCACTTTCTTCCTACCCGAGCTCCCAACACAACGTCCGAGGCTGTTCCCCTGCTTGTTTACTGCTGTCTCCTTGGCAACCGGCATTTACTGGGCATTTAATAATGACCTGTTGAAAGAATAAGTGCACAGCACGAGCATGTCATCACGGCCCAGAGCAGGCAGGGGGAGGCGGGGGTGCTCCCCAGAGCTACTAGTCACTTCTTTTGATTGGAGACACGCGTGAAATGGAAAGTCCAAGTTTCCCACCAAATTGGGAGCAAAAAACTTTTTTTAAAAGAGTGAGTGAATTCCAGAGAAGTCTCTGAGCACCTACTAGAAAGCAGACGCCCAGGCACACTACCAGGTGCTCGCACATATATCATTATTCAGGTAAGGTTTCCCCAACCCCACGTACAGGGTTGGCAAGAGCCCCTCCCGTCCCACGACCCACCCGACAGCCGCCTTGCCCAGGCGCATGCGCCCACTGCTTCCTCTCGGGGCTCGGCGCGTGACATCACCACGCAAGGGGCGGAGAGCGAGCGGTGTTACCATGGTGATCGCAACGCGCTCAGAAAAGTCCACAAGTGACGGTCGAGCCCCCATAACCGACTCCAAGGCTCGCAAACGGGCCGGCCACCGTGGCAGGACCTGACAAGCGGAGCCAGGGAAAGAAAGCAGGAACGCCTGGGTCGCGGACATTTCTCACTGTCATCAGCGGCCCTGTCGCTCGGCGGCCACTTCCGTATCCAGGGTGGGGTCGCCAGCTCCCAGCCCGTCCCCAGCGTGCTGAACTACAACTCCCAGAAGCCTCCGCGGCCACCCCCTCCTTTCTTTCCACTTCGCCAGTAAACAACAGTTGGCGAAAGCACTTACAGGCGCTTTCTATCCATAAAGTCATGCCTGAACGTAGGTATTTGTATCACAATCTCCTTTTTACCAAAATGTGCGCCTCCTGTTTCTCTGCCCCTTTGAGACTACAATACCCAGAAACCTCTGGGCTGCTCTTTCCCAGGCCCTCTGGCGGAGGGTTGCCTTGGAGACAGCGAGACGCCGGAAGCCTAACGAATGAGGAGGGGCAAGGCTGGAAGAAGGCTTCTAATTGGCGGAGAGGCCACTACGTCAGCCCTAAAGGACGGGTCAGGGGTGCACATGCGCATTGCGTTGGCCCCGCGCGTTTTCGGTCGGGGAGGCTGGGGGGTCCTCAAGGCTCCAGCAATTGGGCGGTGTCGCTGGTCGCGCTGCGGGGAGGTGGAGTCTGCGCATGCTCAGGGCCTCCCTACCCAAACCAGAGGCGCAGGCTCCGAAGTGCCCCTGGAGGTGAGTGCGACCCTCGGCTCCCCTGCCCGGGTTTCGGAATGGGATTCCCTGTCTCCACGGTAACAGTTCCTCCTCGCTCGCATGTGACGTCATAGCTGCCACTCGCGGGGAGAGCGAGCAAATTTGGAGTCATGGATTCTGAGCCGCGCCACCTCCTCCGGGCCGCCCACCCTGAATCCCCCACCCCGGGAAGGGTGGGCCGATACCTTTTCATCCTCTCTGGGCCTCGGTTTCCCTTTTTGTGAAATGATCTTTGGAGTTCCTTCTCTGCCCCTTACTAGCTCTAAGATCCCAGGCAAGGTACATGGGCTCTGTGCCTCAGTTTCCCCATCTAAAATGAGGATGATGATAGAACTTGACTCGTAATGTTGTGAAGATTAAAGAGCCTTAGGACAGTGTCCTGGACACAATGACCGTCTCTGCTTGTCATCAGGTTGTCTTTTGTTTGGCATCTGAACAGGTCCCTCCCTCCTCTGGGGTCTCAGTGTGTTGATCTGCAAATTGGACGTATTGGGTTTCGTGAGTACTAAGCTTTCTTCTGGGCACACAACCAATGACTTTGTTCTCCCCGAGAGATGCTACAGGGTTTGGTGGTAAGACACCGGAATTTCAGAAATCTGCCCTTGTCGTGTTCACTGCTGCGTGACCTGGTCCACGGCTCTTTGAGGAGCCCTGAGTTTCCTCCAGTGGAAAATCATGGGGATGGACTTCTAATTCTAGCTTCTGGTCCAGGCACTACCCCTGACTTTGCTTGGTGACCTTGGGCAAGCTGTGTGGTCTGACCTTGCACCATCTGTAAAATAACCAAGGGATGTACAATTGAACTTGGAGGTCGCTTTCCGTGCTAAAATTGCAGTCAGTAAATCTGGTACCCATGCAGACCTCCCTTTGTGGTGTCGCAGTATCTTTTTCCTCTTAGTCTCAGATAGGCCTTCACCCATTGTTCATCCGTGTTTGTTTTTCCAGTTGTGTAGCAAAACTGGGCCAGTCATGTTTCCCTCTCGCCTCCCCTCTGAAATAGGACTGTAACTAGGTCACTGCCCCTCATGACCCGTGGAGGCATAAGGCGATGGCATCATTGAAGCCCGTGGTCAGGAAGTTGTTATTTTTTCTGTTCCCTGACTTTCTCATTACTGAGAGAGTAAGCATATCCTCACAGCTCTAACGCTTACCCATCTCTTTTGTATCAGATTGTATTTGGTTTCATTGTATTTACTGTTAGAATCCAATCTTCTCTTTATGGCAAGTGATACTGGCTTTCCATTTGGGCCAGTACAATGAAGGTTCATTTTAAAAATAATTTTTGAACATTCAGCGGTTCTCACTCTAGGTTGGACATCAGAACCACTTGGGAACTGTAAAAAAAAGAATACTGTGCCCAGCCCTGCCTCCGGAGATTGTTTCAAGTTTTCTTGGTTGTAGCCCAGTGCATTGTGTTTTTAAAACTCCTCAGAAGATTCTAACATGTAGTAGCATTGAGAAACACCAGCTGGATGATCTGTAAAGGTCTGTTGTGCTCTAACATTCATCACTTTTTTCATTCCTGAATCCTAAAGAGGTGTGTGCTTGTTCCCCCTTTGGCTTCCTTCATTCGGTCACTAACCCCTTCATTTAAACTAATAGTCAACCTTTCACCTAAACTAACAGCTAGGGATGACTCGGCTGCCTGGCCTCTACCAGGGTGTAGAAGCTGCTGGCATTCTGTGGTGGGCTGAATGTTTGTGGGCCCCGCCCCTCCCCCAAATCCATATGTTGCGTCCCTAATGGCCAATGTGATGGTATCTGGAGGTGGGGCCTTTGGGAGGTAATTGGGTTTGGATGAGGTCATGGGGGTGGGGCCCCCACGATGGGATTGGTGCCCTTATAAGGGGATGAAGGGACCAGAGCTGTCTGCATCCATTAAGCCACACCACCACCTGGAGGCAGGAATTCGAGTCCACGTGTTGTAGACGGTCCCTCAGCTGTTAGGAGGTGGAGCTGGGATAAACTGTTTGGAGCCAGGGCCGTTTGTGTGCATCACCCGTCCTAAGCTGTGCAGGCGGTGAGGGGTGCTCACCCAAGAACAGAATTCTTTTTTTCCTTTGTGGGAACCCCATGGATGACACGTGCATTTTCAAATTCTTTCAGCTGGAGCAACTTAGCGGAGGCACCAGAACAGGGACGTTTCTGGAGAGTAAACCCATGAGGACGCGATGGAGGTCCCTCAGTGTCCCGAGCCCCTAGAGGCCCGGAGGCAGGACCCACCCTACGACCAGGAGCCGCTCTTGGGGGAACTGACCATCGTGGAGGACGAAGGCCACCCATGTTATGGATTTGAGAAGACTGCCAGCCGGCCTGTCGGCAAGCCTCGGAAAGCTCCTTCGGCAGAGAGTCATCACCAGTGCGCCATCTGCGGGAAGAGCTTTGAGCAGCGCTCGGACCTGCTCGACCACCAGAGGATCTACGCGGGCAAGAAGCCGTTCAAGTGCAGCGAGTGTGGGAAAGGCTTCAGTTACCCCTCGGCCCTGGCGGTGCACCAGAGGACGCACACCGGCGAGCGGCCGTTCCCCTGCGCGCAGTGCGGCAAGGCCTTCAGCCACAGCTCGGCGCTGCTCCTGCACCGGCGCGTGCACACGGGCGAGCGGCCCTACGCGTGCCGGGACTGCGGCCGCGCCTTCTCGCAGAGCTCCTCGCTCATCCTGCACAAGCGCACGCACACCGGGGAGCGGCCCTACGACTGCCTCACCTGCGGGAAGGCCTTCACCCGCCGCTCGGCTCTGGTAGAGCACCGGCGCGTGCACACGGGCGAGAGGCCATACGCGTGCGTCCGCTGTGGCCGGGCCTTCAGCCAGAGCGCGCACCTCGCGCGCCACCAGAAGGTGCACGTGACGCAGAAGCCGCACGCCTGCGGGGACTGCGGCAGAGCCTTCCGCTCGTCCGCCGCCCTGCTGCAGCACCGGAGGATCCACACGGGCGAACGGCCCTTCGGATGCCCTGTGTGCGGCAAGGCCTTCACCCAGCGCGCCTACCTGGCGCAGCACCTGCGCGTGCACTCGGGCGAGAGGCCCTTCGAGTGCGACCGGTGCGGGAAGGCCTTTGGCAAGTGTGCGCACCTGGCGCGCCACCGCGGGACGCACGCGTGCGCCCGGGCGCGGCCGGTGAGGGCACCCGCCGGGGAGGGCAGGCGCCCGGCAAGCGCGTAGACGCTGGCGGCACCGTGGTGGGGGACCCCTGCCTGCTGCGGCCCCACGCCTACGGGGAGTGCGGAGGGCCCTTAGAGCGGCTCAGCCCTCGCCCAGCTTCTAGGGCTGCACACCCCCTAACCTGTGTCCCAAACTGGCGGAAACCTGCCAACCCGCGTCCCAGGTGCGGGCCAGGCGTTGGCACGGCTTAGCTCATTACCTCGGAGACACAGGGGGCGGAATTTGGGGCAGAGAATCAACAGCAGAGCCTTCTTTAGAGCCCTCAATGTGCCATTTGAAAAATATATTGGAAAGCCTTATTTTGTCGTCTGGGAGTTTCTACGCCTCTTAGTTTGGAGTTGAACCTTGGAGTGTAGGGGTGATTGGTCATCTGGCCCCTTGGCTGCCCCTCCCCGTGCGGTCAGCTGCTATGAGTGGGAGGGTCAAGGAGGTGAGGGTGCTGATTCAGAACCTTCCTCTGTGGAGGCCGGGAGACCAGGGCCTGGGGTCCTTTTCCGCTTCTCCATAAACGTGGGTGAGGAGCTTTCTATTTCTAGTCTGCGCAAAGGGCCGAGTGTGCCAGGCCCTGTCCTGAGTGCTTCACAGAATGTGTTGACTCCTTGCACCACCCCGGAGCTGGTACTGTTGTCACCTCCCTGTTACAGGTGGGAAAACCCAGGCTCTGGAGGGGAGGCCTCTGGTGCAAGACCGTGGAACTAGGTACCACCCTGGCAGCTGGGCCCAAGGGGCTCGTCTCTTAAACACCAGGCAATTAGTAATCAAGATGATGCTCCTTGAGCGTTTGTCAGACCCCCGGTGGACATGCTCTCATTTCATTCTTCTGGCAACCCCGTGGGGCTTGGTCTCATCCCTTACTCTCAGATGAGTAATCACCAGTAAAATGGCTCAGCCAAGGCTGCTGGCCCCCCAGGGTTCTTCCCCCTGCTGGGCCCAAGGGTCAGTGGCAAATTGAAGTCGCAGCCACAGTTCCCCTAAGACAGTGTATGGGGAATTGATGGGGGGTGGTCCCTGCCTCCGCCAGGAGGCACAGTGTCTGCCCAGCCCAGTGGAGGTGTGTTAGGTGTCAGTGGCTGTTATTCCACTTTCCTGAGAAAGAATCAGGAGAATGTGTACTCTTCATGTTCTCAGACTTCATGATCGGTCATCTATGATCATGATCGGTAACTATGTTTTGGCCTTGCAGGCTGCTGGATAGTAAGAAGTGGTTGGCCTGTGTTCCCTGGTCCCTGGGAGGGAACCTCACACCTTTGGAATTTGTTATTCCATGGTGGGCCCCTTGGACCCTGCGTGAGCTTAAGATAACGAGGTGACTCATGGTGGTGGGCCCCTGGATAGTTTCAGGATGGGGGCTGGTCATGCCGGAAAGACCACCCCTGTGATTGGCGGTTTGGGCTTTGTGAGGAGGAGTGGGGGCTGGAGATTGAGTTAAATGAGGCGGCCAGTCATCCACTCATCATGCCTACTTGATGAAACCCCAGTAAAAACCCCGCACCCCCGAGGCTTGGTGAGCCCCCTGGTTGGTGATACACATCAACTGGCCACATCCTGAGGACATGGGGAGCTTTGCATCTGGGATCTCGCACACCTCCCTGCGGCTGGCCCTGGTTTGTATCCTTTATAATAAAACTATAGCCGTAAGTACAGAGCTTTCCTGAGTTCTGTGTCATTCTAACGAGTTACCGAACCTGAGGTGGGTAGGAAACCTTCGAATGTGTAGGTGGTCTGTGCAGAAGTGGCCCAGGAGCCCTGGAGCTTGTGGCTGATGTCTAAAGTGGGGGCGATCTTGTACCCTCAACCTATGAAGTCTGGCCCAACGTAATTGAATTCCCTCTAATGCTATTATGATTTTACTTCCTTTCTTTTTTTCACATTAGGTTTGGTCTGGAATTAGTGGTCAAACTGCGGCCCTCCAGCTGCGGTTGCTGTGGGGAAGGTGTTGACTGAGCTGGCTGGCTGCTCCCCCCCACCCCTTTCCTATCCTGGGTGCGGACCTACACACTGCTGGTCAAGCCCACATATAAAGTAGAGGAAGATGGGCACGGATGTTAGCTCAGGGCCAGTCTTCCTAAAAAGAAAAAACGAAAACAAAACAAAAAACCAAGTGGGACTGATACCAGCTCAACACGAGATTGACATAAGGGAAACCATACCGTAGAAAAGAAACCATATTGTAACTTTGAATGACCTCTGATTAACTAGCCCAGACATGCTCTGTAGCTTGTGTGGCCCCTCCCAGCTGCTTTATGGTGATATCTGTAGTCTTTTGAGTTCTCTAGGAATGTGATGACCCCCAGGCAGAGAACCTACGCTCACAGCCATCATCAATGACAACTGAAAGATCAGGGCATAGGGCATTACTCCATTCCGTGATGCATATCCAGTAAAACAAAGGACTATCAGGACCTAGGACCAGATGTCTACCCAACCCAGAGACCAGCCGCCTTGCCCACCTGGACGCCAGCCCCGTATATAACTGGCCTGTAGTCTTTGTTCTGGGAGATGGTTCTTTCAGACATGAGTCCGCCATCTTCCCTCTTGCTAGCAAGCTGTAATAAAAACCCTTTCTCTCCTCCCACCTTGCCTTCTGACTATTGGCATGTCTTGTGGTGAGCAGAGGATCCCCCCTTGGGCTAACAGGACCACTGATCTAGACCAGGTCTCTGCTTTGTGAATGCTAACGCAAGCTGCCACGGATCAGAGCGTTTACCAGGCACCAAGCAAACTACTGAGACCGGGACCTCACCTCCCTCCCCCCACAGCCAGCTCAGGTGGGAGCTCCTGCCCCCTGATAATGCATCCTGGTTACAGGTTTGCTTGCTGCATCTTGACCTGGGTCTGGATCTTGGCTCTGGCGCCACCTAGCTACAGAGCCGGAGCCAAGGCAAGAGTTTCAATTCCTCGGGTTTCAGTGGCGGATCTGATCCCCTCCCAGGCTTGTTACAGTCAATGGGAAGCGCACACAGGTCTTAAGTCAGGGCCCTGCACAGGTGTTCAATGATTGTTGGCGATTGTTTTCCTTTTCAGAGTAAATGTGAAGGGGCTAGCATATAATTTCTTTCAAAAATGATACATACTATCTGTTTAATAGAATTCGTATCAGCTCATAATAGCTACCATGTACTGAATCCTTGTTTTGTGCCAAAACCTGTAAAATGATTACGTTACTGTTTAAACCTTCGCCACAACCCCCTGAATGTGGCTCCTCTCTGTACTCCCCAGTTCACCCTGAGAACGCTGGGCCCGGAGCAGCTCCCTCGCTTGGGCAGAGGGGCCACTGAGCAAGTAGACAGCCCAGTGCATCCACTTACTGTCAAAACCTTCGCTGTTAGCCTCGCCATCTTCCTGCCTCCCACGCTGTGGTGATTACGTGGCATATACAGGTGTGACGTATAATAAGAAATATATATTTGGTCTTTGTCCCCATTCCTGACACAGAGCTCCCATTTCGTTAGTGATGAAAAGGATAAAGGCCTTTTATATGTTAATAAGGTGACTTTTGGAAAGCACCTGAGGATGGACTAGTTGCCATGGGAACCAACCAGCTGATTGGAAGGTCAGACCTTTCAGGATGAATCAGTCGCCAAAGGCCAATGATTTAATCAGTCCTGCCTACGTCATGAAGCTTCCAGAAAACCCCCAAAGGATGGAGTTCAGAGAGCTTCCAGGTTGGTGAACACGTGGAGCTTTGGGGAGAATAGGGCATTCAGAGAGCATGGAAGTCCCATACCCCTTCCCTCATACCTCCTCCTATGCGTCTCTCCCACCTGGCTGTTCCTCACTTATATTCTTATATAATAAACCAGTCACCTAGTAAGTAAAATGTTTCTCTGAGTTCTGTGAGCTGCTCTAGCAAATTAACTGAACCTGAGGAGGGGGTCATGGGAACCTCTGATTTACAGCCGGTCAGTCAGAAGCACAGGTGACATCCTGGACTTTGGACTGGGCTCTGAAGAGGTAGGAGCTCTGAAGAGGACTGAGCCCTTCATGTGTGGCATCTGATGCTGTCTCCAGATGCATAGATAGTGTCAGAAGTGAGTTGAATTGTAGGACACCCAGCTGGTTCCGCGGAATTGCTTGGTGGTGTGTGAGAAAAACATATAATTGGTGTCAGAGTCAGAACATGTAACCCCTTTCTGGATTGCTGAGTTCCCCCTGCCCCCAGGAAAGATGCCGTCTTCCTTTTTGACTCTAAGCAAGACCAGAATAGTCCCTGCACCTGAGCAGAGGGATCCTTCGAGCCTTTGGAAGGTTTGATGGTGACACATGGCCCCTCTTCCCTGTGTCCCCAATGCCTTTCCCCGCCAGCGTGTCTGTATCCACCCTACAGGGCTGGGGGAGGTGTAGATGCATCTACCTCAGTGGCTAAGGACCAGCCTGAGTAATAGCTCATTACTACTTCATGCAAATTAAAATCTAAAAACCCTCTGGCTGGTGGTTCTCAAACTGTGGTCTCCCAACCAACGACATTTGCACCTTCTGGGAGCTTGTTAGAAATGCAAATTCCCAGGGTCCCACTCCAGACTATGGAGCCAGAGACTCCAGGGGTGGGGCAGCAACTGTGTTTCCTGGGCCTCCAGTTGATTCTGAGGCACTCAAGTTTGAAAATGGGATGGAGAAGAGACAAAATTAGAATGATTAGGAAACTTGGCTGATATGGGTGTTCTTTATTGGGGGGAGGAAGCTTCTGCCCACAGGCACGGTCAGGAAAGGAGCACTAGGATCCTACAGATTCGAGAAAGTCACAAGATTCTTTTTCGGTTCTTGAAGGCTCATAAGAATTGGAATAGCCACCAAAGTATGGCACCGTCTGGTCCTTTGCAGTTGCAAAGCTTCGCGGCAACATTACGGCATCTACTTAACCTCTTGCACCTTGGAATCATCTAGAGGGGCAGGGGGTCCATCCCTGAGGCTGGGCTTCAGCCGGCCCCAGGTGGTGCTGCACCGATCTTTTAAAGAAATGGTAGTGATGTGACAGGATGGAGGTGTTAACTAGTGCTGTGGTGGCAAGCATTTTATAATACAAATGTATCAAGTCAACACGCTGTACACCTTAAAGTTACACAATGTTATCTGTCAATCATTGTAACCACGGGCCCTCTAGGACCAGTTCAACTGATTCCATCTTATCAGACTAATTAAGAGTGGGTTTTTCAGAAACTGAGACCCCTTGTTCAGTTCAGGCCAGTTGAGATCACTAACCCTTCAACTGGGCCTGTGCGAATGCCTGATAAGTGACCCTTTTGATGTCAGGGGGCTGAAAACTCCATCCTCAGATCATGCTAACACCACCATTTTGTGAACATGTGTCCCATGGAGAGCCATGGAGCTTGATCACACTTGCTCAGATCAGCAATTACCTCACTTCTTACCTCAGATCATCTCTCTCCACACTTCAGACCGCCCTGCCTCTGCTCTCAAAGATTTTGCCCCAAGCCCTGGATCAGGAGACAGATCTGAGAGCATATGCCTCCTGTCTCCTTGCAGATGGATCTAGCAATAAAGCTGTTTTCTTTTTCCAAAAGCTGATTCTGTAATAATTGGCTTTTTAAAATGCACATCAGGTAGGAGAACCCATTTATGTGGTAACAATATCTCAATAAAGCTGCAGGGGTGGTGGGGGGAGAAGAAAGAAGCTCCCAGGTGCAGCCCAGGTGGAGAGCCAGGCATTATAGTCCAGGAAGAACCTCCTCACTTCTTCCTCAGACACAGAGTGCCCCCCCGGGGTGAGGGTGTCGGCTGCACCATGCAGCCCTCCAGGATGGGGTGGTGTTGGCAGGGGTCCGCAGACAAGTGAATGGGCACCCAGAAGAGTGTGAAAAGTGCTGTGATGACCAAAAGTACAAGATCCTAAGGGACCATGAGAAAGTAAGTTCTTCCTGCACCCAGGCTGGGGGAGGGAGGTGGGGCAGGGTTACCCTAGGGACCATTTCTGGGAAGTGCAGTGACATTTAAGGAAGAGAGAGATTGGGTGAAGGTGGATGGAGGGGGTACACACTTCTGTCCACGTCCCATGGCCCAGAACACAGCTGCAAGGGAGGCTGAGAAGCTTTGGCTCATGGGGGCCACGACCAGCTCAAAGTCAGGGTCCATCACTGTGCTGGAGAGATAGCCTGACTGCTGGGACCAGTTGGCAGGTCAAAATGCATCTAATTTGCTGGTCAAAGACATCTAATAATAATAACCAAGCAACCGTGATCATAAAAACAACTAAATGCCATTAGCTGAGCACACACTAGGCTGCAGAAATTCTGCCAACCACTTGACATCATCTCATCGGGTCCTTCCAGCAGCCCAAAGATGCTTTGCCCTGTCGCCTTCTCTTTGAGCCTCAGCTCCCTCTGCTGCCATATAGGAGGCACAACTCCCTATGTGCACTGTGAGGATTAGCAACCTTACCGGGTGAATAAAGAAGGCCACTTCCCTGGCAGGTGCAAGAAACCTCAGAATATTTTGGGGAACCTCAAGAGAAGAGAGGAACCCACCCAAATCTATAGGTACTGCCAGCAAAGTCTGATGACAAGTCCGTGGCTTGGTTTTCCCGGTCTTGAGAGGCCTTTAAAATTCAATCTGAGATTCCTTATGAAAAGTTCCAGCAAAGCAGATTTAAAAGAGCCTATAGGATCAACTACTATTCTTGCTGTACTT